CCGCAGTACATGATATTTCTCCTTAGTTTAACCCAATCTACCACTATTTTCAAAGTTGCTACTTTTGCATCAGACACCCTGTATATTAATATTTTTATTATTATAGTATTTAAGAAATTATCTTTTGTCATTTAAAACCATGTACAAAGAAATGGAAATGTATAATTGTAAATATCAGATATTATGCACATTAACGTGATCGACATATTCTGGTAATTATTGTTGATGTTTTTATTTTCAGTATTTCAGTTAATAGCAGTTAATGTGAGAAAATGTTATCTACTAAAAAAGAAAATTTTCTAATTGTTGAATTTTCTGATGGACTGGCGGTTGTACCAAGAACGTGGGTAAACAATAATAAAACATGTTGGTGGCCCAATTACAGAAATCAATTGCGCATTGATAAAGCAAAATCAACGATGGAAAAGCCTAGTCAAGAATGGTTATCATATGATATCTTGAAAATTCATACTCAAGCTAGTAATTATATATTTTTTATTTCACATTCTGTTTTGTCTTGTTTTGTTTTCATAGAATTTTTTTGTACATCAAAAACAATTTGACTTTGAAAAATTCTTACTTATTCGAAATATTTCAGATAATTATCAAGAAGCATTAGAAAAATTGAAATTGGCTGAAGATTATTTAGATGTTGATCAATTAAGAGGATCCCGTAGCGGGTCTGTTTTACCGACAAAATTACCATTTTCGTAGTTATAACCTTTCGTCGTATTAAATTCATGGAATCAAAAATGCTTGCGTACAATGACAGTATATGCATTGATGATCCCAGGAAACTCCAATTTTATACCAAAAATGAGTCAAAATTACAAAATTCATATGATCGATCACATATAACCTCAAAGACGCGAACTGTCACTCCGTCATACTTGTGCTTCGTATAAAAGTTCTACAACTTGTACTCACATGAAACTGAGTTTCCTAGGATTCGATGACATGTAGAATTACTGTGAAACCCTCTAAATTGGGATTAGACGTTTAAAATAAGAGTATAGTTAGTACAAAACTTTCGTGTTTATGTATGGGTGTGATGTATCGTAGTAGTGTGTCCGTGTGCTCATGTATATACGAAAATGGTAATTCTGTCGGTAATACATAGATGTCGGTAGACCCGCTACGGGATCCTCTTAATGGGAAATTCTGGAAATTATAAAAAAAACAAGGCACGATCGCGCTCATAGACGTAATTCTTTTGATTCCAATGGAGAAGATTCTGCGGATTCCGAAGAAAACCATCGAAAAAGCAAACATATAACTTCATCTTTGCCTGATCCGCCAAAATTCAAGGATAGGCCTAACACTGTGACAACGGAAACCTCCATTTCAGCCAAAGAACCACAGAATATATATGAACAGAGCTGCACGGTACATAGCAGAATCAATCCAGAAATTGCTGAAACTGCTGAAAATATTATTTTATTAGATGAAAATTCAGGTGATTAATTTGTGTCATAGTATACATGTATGCATAAATGAGTTTCTAGTCAAACGTTTATGCTTGTAAAAACATATGTGTGTGTGTGTGTGTGTGTGTGTGTGTGTGTGTGTGTGTGTGTGTGTGTGTGTATGCGCGTGTGCGGATATGTATGCGTGTGCACGTGCGCGCAGGTGCATTAATGTATATAAAACTCGCATTAGTGCACATATGTTTACATTACATTCTCAAAACAGAGACACAGATTTGCTCAGTTTGAGTACGTTTTTGATACATTAACTCATTTGTACCGAAAAATATCTCAATACCGTTGTAACCGTTTTTCAAAATGTGCCTTAACATCTCCTTAAAGTTTAAGCAAAATTCTTAACACTTTCCGTTGTACCGTTGTAAACAACGACATACATATGTATGTATATACGTAGACCAAACATTCTGTCTGTAGAGTGAGACCGTAAGTGTGAGTGAAAAAACTGTTTTGCGTCTATTGCTTTCTCACTCTAGCTTAGAAATATAACAACAGTCAAGAGTCGACATATTTGCTGTCATATAAACTAAAATGAGAAAATAGTAGATACATCTATCTTTGTCTCTAACTTTCAGCTTCACTCCCTCACCCCCTTTTATAGCAAAAACATAGGAATGTATATAGATGTCATTGGTTGTAAAGTCTGTATAAAGATTATATCTTTCATAATCAGTAATTTCTGTGTCCTGAATAGAGAATGAATGAAATAGTCCTGAATAGAGATGTACCCTTCTTCAATTAAAACAGTAATTTTAGTCACTAAAAAAAAATATTCTACAGACAACAGAAAATTTTCTACGTTTTTTTTTACAAACGTTAATTATTTTGTGTAGAAAAAGAATATTTTGAAGAGGCAACAGCAACTCAAAAGATTCGCACTAAGCAATCAGAAGATTTAAAGATCAGGAAAATTAATGCAGCAAGAACCATTCAACACATAGAAAAAGAAGCAGACAACGGAACAAGTGACTTAAGCATTGGTAATTGACTATTTTATAGACTATCTTTATATTTACTAATTCTCATCAACAAAATAATTTTCCTTTAAATTTATTTGCAGCTTATTTGAAAGAAATAGTTTATATGTTGAATAAACAATTTGTAGAAATACGTGAACTTAAAAAGTGTATTGGAGAAAAAGAAGCTGCAAAGAATCAAAAACCTGAAAACAAAGATTGTGTCAACTGGGCGAAACTTTTGCCTTTCAACAGTATAGATGATATGGCAAATTTTTGCAAAAAATTGGAAACAAAAGAAAACTATGTGGAGTCTATGGTAATTATTATAGTTTTTCATTAAAGAAAAAAAATTTTATTTTATATGTTTAACACAATAAGGTTTAACCAGGTTTCTTCTTGAAAAATCATTTTTTTAGTATCTTAGGAGGTATACAAGCGTTATAGAGTTACCATACATTTAGTAATTGATTAAATTTTTTATATAAAGTTTTAAATTTTGATAAAATAAAATCAAAGATTGAAAAGTACATATAATTTATAAATATGTTTTTATATAGATAAAAATGTTAAAATCTGTGGGAGGCAAAGACGATAGAAATAAAGTTAACAAAATGATGGAAAAAGTTATGACAAACACACTCGGTGAGAAATTTAGTCGCAAAAATTTAGGGACAAAAAGGAAAGCTGGTGTTTGAAAACTGCAAGGTTGAAAAAATTATAGTTGGTGAGTCAATAGTATTTAATTATATTCTTACGAAATAACCGTTTTGTATAAAGTAAAATCTTCAATATATTATATATTGTTTCATATGCTATTAATCTTTATTAAGTGAAGAATTTCATGAATTAGAAAAAAGTTTATCAAAACAGCGTTACAGTACGCTAACCAGTCGATCAAAAAAATTAAATAGTCACTCAGAAATACAAATTTTAACACTAAGGACGGTATTCATAGTCAGATCTTATATTTAAGATCTTAAGATCAACTTTATTATAGGTATTCCGTAGTCAATGAAATTTTCCATACAGCATCTTTAGATAAATTCAAGACTGTTCTGAATATAAGATCTGACAAGTAACCTTACCTTTGTATTACTCACTGATTTTATTGAAACTCGATATATTTGTAGAGCAGTTAAACATATTAGACACGTAAATTTTTTTCTATCCACAATGATAACGCCCCTTTGTATTCATAAGTACAAGGAATTAACTCGTTGCAGTTAAACTCACGCTATTACAGCTATTTTTAACTTCTCTACAAATATACCAAGTTTCAATAATATCAGTAAACAACACAAAGGTAATAGCCGGAGAGCTGGTGAACATTTTGTTAAGGTTGTTTTATACAAGCTGAAATTTTGTAAAAAGTTATTTTTTTCCTACCTGAATAAGAATTTCCCAACCTGCCTGGCCAGCGTTGGTTAGAAGTACACCCATAATTTTTTAAAAGTGTAAAAAAAAAGTTGAAACCAACATGAAGTATACAAGTTGAAATTTGAATTTTTAAAAATTTTATACTTTTTTGAGTAAGAAAAAAAAGGGCAGGCGTCCTGGTTGGTTCGAACCTAGTGGCAGGCGATCGTAAAGTTGTATCATTAGTGGTGGTGCTTAACTTTTATTTCATAAAGGTATTTCATAGCATCAGAAACATGTTGCAATTTTTACAATGTGTTTCTAATGTTATAAGAGTAATATATGTTGAAAGCTAGGCTGATTTAACAAATAAAACAGTATGAAAAGTAGTAAATAATGTTTTCCGTGAGTGCGACGGAGAGAAGATTATGCAGACGCGCGCGCGAGAGTAAGAGAGAGCGTATATGTAAGATACATATACAATATATATAGTAGGGTTCTGATTTTATTTTATCTCTTAAATATACGTGTAAATGTTTATTCATTTATATTTACTTCCAGCAAAACGTTTGCACGAACCTATATTTACCATACTGTTTATTAAAATTCGTCTTTCCGAATATTTTCCTATTTTTTATAAACCTTTATCAAAACAAAGTCCGCTAGAAAATTAGAGCTAGTTAGAAGTTAGAAGTTTTGAAACAGTGGACAAGCACGTTTCGTTATTCTAAAACTTATTCTGAAATAGCAGATTTAACATCTTTTATATTATTTTTCACTGTTTCTTGAAAGTTATACCGCTTGTGTGTATCAAATTAGTGAGACACCCGCCTAGCATGAGAGATCCAGATTTCAATCCTATCTGAGGTAATATTCTTTGCAGTAAGAATTCTTTACAGTGATGGGGAAGACAAAATGCTTAAAAGTATGTAAATTTTATTGTTCCACCAAAGAAACTGTAGTTTAAGACCGACAGTGCTTAGTGCATAGGAATGTGTTGGAAATGGTACATGAATAACATAAAAATTCACACAATAAACCATTAGACTATCTATGTACATCTCCTGCTCGGATCGTTGACTTTTTTATTTCGTATTGATTTATATCGCTTATATTTACAATATTAATTATTAGTGTCTTTTATATACTTTTGTTTTTTATTAATTACAATTATTTCTATTACTAATTACGTCCAATGTGTATTTTTTTTAATAGGTACTTAATTAATAAAATATGGCAACAAGCAATTTAGTCTGTGTCATCTGTAGAAAAAACACTCGTGACATGAAAGTCATTATATTCACTAATGAAACTTTAACAAAAAGCTGTAAAATATCAAAAATTCGTAAAAATTTTGGCTTAAAATATGAAGACGTTGTTTTACCTACCAGTGTGAATGTTACAGAGGGTTATCATGTATCATGTTATAAGAATTATATTGCCCTAAAGAAAAAATATTACGATGAAGAAGAAGCATCAACATCATCCGACGTATCTTCATTTGAACCAAGTATTAAAACACATTTAAAATATATTAAATAGTAAAAAAGGCAGTGATGTAACTCTTAACATGTGTTCATTCGTGATATTTTATTTTTAAGTTTTTATTACAGATATTATGCGCCCTGTTGAAGATACATCTCAACAAAATGCAATCCCATGCGAGATAGTGACGCCTGATGCTTAAATATTATTGATCCATGTGAAGTATCAACCTACAAAGAACAATATGTATCCGCGGATGAGACATTAGAAGAAGCACAAAGTTTCAAGAAAAATGAAACACCATGTTATTTTTGCCAAAAAAGATATAAAAAACACAAAGGACGATTGCAGCCGTTACAAACTGGACAAAAAGAAATCCTCAAGGAAAACCTACATAAATATTCCGAGTTTCTTAAAGATTCTGAAGTTTTAAAAAACCTAGGAACTTCACCAAATGAAATTCATTACCACAAAATCTGTCGCGTTGATTTCTTCAATAAATTAAAAGCAATTGCCACCAAAAGACTGCAAACAAGTTATCGTATAAGTAGAAATTGTCATAAAAAAGCCTTCGAGGAAATATGTAGCTTTATAGAGTAAAATGTACTAGCAAAAGAGCATTGCTATTTATGGAGTTATTTAAATAATTATTATATGGCTGCGATTACAAAATTTGCAGGACACGATGGCGAATACAGTATTACTTTTAATGAACAACACTTACAAAACAAAATAATTGGAAAGTATGAAAATGAGATTAAAATAATGACTATGCACAATAAAAAAATAGTTATGCCGATAAATCACACAATAGATGATGGTCTATTTTCACTCTTAAAAGACAAAGATATTCTTCAGAATGCCGCTTTAATTTTACGACGACAAATCCTAAACATAAGAAAGACTGCATTGCCAACAATTTTGAAGACTACTGACTTATTGAGAGGAGAATGCTCAATACCGCAAGAAATAACTGATTTTTATACGACATTATTGGGTGGTTTCCAACGTCGACGTAGAACTAACATTAATTGTCAGAGAAAAATTAAATCACTGTCTGAAGATTTAATTTACGCTGTTACAAATGGTAAAATTAAAACTAGAAAACATATAACACTAGGAATGACTTTGAAAAGTTTGACAAGTAGCCGTAAAATCATCGACATAATTAATAGGTATGGTCATTGCTGTAGTTATAACGTTATAGAGGAGCTAGAAACAGAAGTTACTTTTTCGTCGATTAATCGAGGAACTACATGCCCTGAAGGTATTTCTTTGTCCCCTGATTTATTTATTGGGGTAGCTTTTGATAATTTTGACAGATATGTTGACACTACCAGTGGGAAAGACACATTACACGATACTGTTGGCATTATATACCAGAATATATGTGTACAAGAATATGCACCAGAAAGTTTTGAAGTTAGTATTGCAAGTGGATCGAAAAGAAGACGAACGTTTGATACTATAACTCCAGCACTAACTTCATACAACAAGAGAGCTAGAATGGAAGAAGTTTTACTGCCAAATGAGGATGATCAACACCAATCTATTCCAGAAAATTTACAACTAATTAAAATCGCTCTTAAAGCTTCCTCTATGAGGAAGCCTTGTGCAAATTTCTAATTTGCACACTTTACTTTACTTTTTTCTAATTAGAAA